GGCGTAAGCTGCAGGGGAGCTGCAGTGGGCTGCCGTGAGCTACCAGGAGTGGCTGGCAGCCTGCGTGAGCTGCCATGAGCCACCGTGAGCGGCCGTCCAATGGCTGGCAAGCGATCTGCCTCATTCCTGAAGAGCGCAATGATAACACCAACATGGGCCATTGAAGTGACGTCCTCCACAACTAGACTGAAGAACAACAACAAAAAAAAGGACAGCAACTTGTCTGTTCTCCTTCCCCAATTCCCCAACACTGTTCCCCTCCCCAAATTCCCCAATAAAATCTTAAAAAGAAAATTTTTAAAAAGGCCAATTAGAGGAGCCATGCAGTATCTTACGCCCACAGAGCGAAAGCTGGTTGGAGGAGGAGCGTGACATCCAGCAGAGCAGAGCTAAGCCAGCGGCGGGAGAAACAGTCCTGATCATGTCCTTTGCGCCCAGGGAGGGTTTATGTTTGTGGGAGAGCTCACACTGTATGAGTGGCTGGTTAAAATGCTGACTCAGTGCACAGTCAGGGCCCAGGAGCTTGGATCTGTGACTTTCCCAGCCCAGCGCTGGAGCAGGGACCAGGGACAGGAGGATTCAGGGCTTAGTGTGCCACTAGCAGAGCTCCTGGCAGGGAAGAAAGGAGGCCATAGGCCTGTCCCCAAGGAAGCTGTGGCATAGACCCAGGGTCTGGCCTCCGCGTCCCACTGCCAAGGTCCTGGCCACACCCAGGAGAGCCCCTGGGACAGCCCAGCACTGACCTCGATGATCTCTAGCATCTCCACTCGGGTGATCTTGCCGTCGCCGTCCAGGTCGTACATGTTGAAGGCCCAGTTCAGCTTCTGCTCGAAGCTGCCCCTGGAGGTGATGGACAGGGCGCAGATGAACTCCCGGAAGTCGATGGTGCCGTCCCCATTCTTGTCAAAGGTGCGGAAGGCATGCTGGGCAAACTTGGAGGCATCTCCATACGGGAAGAACTGCAAAGCAGAACACACACATCGGGCGTCAGGAGGGAAAACAGCACAGGCCCCGTCGTAGGTGGAGGTCTTAGCCAGGACAGACTGAACGGCCACAGCACCACACCTGCTGACAGCACCATGGATAGCGGTCCAGGCTGCTGTGGGGGGGGAACGCGGCAGGCTCGGCTGCAAACAGTGCTTTGACCCAGTGCTCAAGGCCAAGAGCAGGCACAGGAGGCTGCCTCTGAGTGTCCTCACTCACAGGCACCTGGCTGTTTCCTGTGGGCAAGGCTGGTGACACACGGCTTTGGGGTTGGCAGGGCCTGGCTGCAGACAGCTAGCATCCCTCATTTGTGGCTTCCCTGGTCACTGTCCCACCGGAACAAGGACCGGAGCAGGTAACAGACCTCTCCCCAAACAGGGTGGTGCTACATGAACTTCCACATTCCTCTCAGTGTGAAAATGCAGGTCCCCCCAAAGCCAGGATGCCCAGACCTGGTTTCTCCTGCCACGGGCTCCCTGTCCCCAGCCCGCTGTCATCTCTGGGTGAGGCTCCAGTGTCCGACTTCTTTTTATAAGGACTCATCTTTTGTAGAACAGACATTGAAAACCCATTAAAAATAGAATATGACTGGGCTTCTTTCTGAGAGAGATAAAGAGGTTTTTTTGTGGTTTTTTTTTTCCTCTCAGGGGCAACTGTTGGCAAGGGTGCCTTGGGAGACAGAGAATGGACACAGGGAGAGAAGGAAGCTCCGACCCTCTGCGGCCCAGGAGAATGAGGCGGTGACCTTGGACCCTGAACATGAGTCTAGGCCAGTCACACACAGGAAGCTCTGATACCTGACCCTCTGTGCGCCCCAGCAAAGCGAAAGGACGTTTTCCAGGCAGAGAGTAGAAAACAAGCAAATAAACCTCATTGCACCCCCCCCCCAAAAAAATCCAAACAAACCATGTGCTATTTAAAGCAGAGACAGTACATATGTGTTTCTGGATGAATAAATCCAGCAAATACAAAATTGAAAGCAGATTCCTGAGGATGTCACTGGCATCCCTGTCCCTTCGTAAGATTTGCCACTTGCTAGTTAGACAGGCTGGCCAGCAGCACTGGGGGCTGTCTCCCTTCGGGAACCCCCAGTTCCTCTTTCTCGCTGTATATCATGACCTGGGCCCTGCTGAGCCCTGAAAAGAGAGAAGGCCCTGCTCCCATGCCTCTTACACTTGGAAGCACCGTGGAGGGTAGAACATTTCTCTCCAGAACTTAAACGTGCATTTCCATGGAATGATCCCACACATGAGGCCCAGCGAAAGGACAGGCATTGCAGGGGGAGTGGGAGCTGGCCTAGGCTAGAATTTTGGTAGCACCCACGTCCAGACACCAAGATCTGTTCCGGCTACTTTTGCTGTGTAATAAACCACCGTGAAGCTCAGTGGCTTAAAACAACAACACTCCTTTTATTAATCTCGCAAAAGAAAGATTTGGCAACCACTACTTTTCGAATCAAACACCTTATCTTTCTATCGCTGTAAGAGACAACTTTCTCCTTTGTTTCTTCATTCCCTAAACACATGATTATTTCTGCTATGCTCCTCCATGTTTCATTATGCATCAGAATCCACGGAGGTCTTTATCCGGCCAGGCCCAGTCTTAGGTGCTGTGGGACCTTGCAGTTCGTGGGGGAACCCCACGTGAAATTTACAATGGTCCTGTTACCTGCTAAGAGCTACGGCAGAGGAGCGGCTGTCTTCCTAAAGCTCCAGAATGACAGGGACGTGTTACGGAGGCAACAGGCTTCCTTTCTCTTTCCCCTGCTCGGCACGTTTCCCCCGAACCCCCCAATGCCACTCAGGGGCCTGGGCCTCTGCCAGGTGCTGAGTTTCGAACCAAGCAATTTTGACCTTGAAAATTTCTAAATAGTAAGTTTGATCCTCATGGGCTCTAAAGTGTTTTTCTTTACTAACAACACTTCTGACACCAAATGTGAGGGTTTTTTGTTTTATTTTCCCCTCATAACAACCAATTCTGGGACTCTCTGGACACCACCTGGGTGTCCTACAATGCAGTTCAATTCTGACACTAACTGCCCAGAGTTAGCACAGACCCCACAGACTGAGGGCTCCGTTCCACAAGACTGCCCCGCTTTAGATGCCAGCCACAAGCCCCAGGTTGCCGCCTGTACCTCTGATAGAACTGCTATCAAGTTGGGGGTTCCCTCAAACCCCTTGTTTGAAAATTTGCTAGAATGACACAAAGAATACAACAAAGCACTTAATTTACTATTACCAGTTTGTTATAAAGGATACAACTCAGCACCACCCCGACAGGGCAGATGCACAGGGCAAGGTGTGGGGGAGGGTGCATGGACCTGTGTGCTCTCAGCGTTACACCCTTCCAGCACTGCAATGTGGTCACCACCCTGGAAGCTCCTGAACCCTGTAGTTTAAGGGGTTTTATGGAGTTTTCATTACACAGGCATGATTAATTACATCAGTGGCCATTGGCGATTGGCTCAATTTCCAGCCTGTCTGTCCTCCCCTGAGGTCAGGGGGGTGGGGCTGAAAGTTCCAACTCTTGACTCATGCTTTGGGGTGTCCGGTGACCAGCCCCCATCCAGAAGCTATCCAGGGGCCCCATCACCAGTCATC